GTAATATGATGTAATGGTTTAAGAAAGAAATTGTGGTGATCGCTGATCTAGTTAAAGATCACACATTTTTTCTTTCTTTTCTTTAAAGGATTTTTTTACTATCTATGCAAAAACAAACCCAACTTTAAAGAATTACCTAAAACATATGATTACAAAGTTCTGTCTCAGTTATCATAGCGGTAGATCTTGGAAATCAGTTTAAAAAGGAAAAAAATCTCAGAAATTTTATCAATTGCTTATTAGATTTAACACCAATGTAACTAGTAAATAGGGAACTCAATTTAACATCAATATTGATACATTGGAAAATAGTCGTTTACTTTCTTGTAGGATAACTAATAACTTGATGATGGGGAGGAGAAGGAAGGACGGTGTCGGTTAGTCTGAGTAGAGGTGTATACTTCTTCTGCTTAATATATATGTATACCCATGTAAAATCATTCAAAATAAATAAATAGAAGAGTCCAAATAACAAAGATGGCTGCACCATCCTCAGTTATACCGGCATCTTAGATAAAAGAGATATCAGTGTATGCGCTGTTGCCAGGGTGGAAACAGATCTTCGTGAAGCGATCCACAGAAATAATGCCATATAAAACTTGTTGCACTGAATCGGTGAAAAATTGGTAACTAAATGAGTTAGCAGTTGCATATACATATGTCGTGGAAGTCAGTGATCTAAACAAACCATGTGGCAGGTTGTATACACACGACAAACACAGCATCTGAACAAACCATGTAGCGGGTTGTATAAACACGACGAACACAGCATCTGAACAAACCATGTAGCGGGTTGTATAAACACGACAAACACAACATCTGCTCAAACCAGGTAGCGGGTTGTATAAACACGACAAACGCAGCATCTGAACAAACCATGTAGCGGGTTGTATAAACACGACAAACACAACATCTGAACAAACCATGTAGCGGGTTGTACAAACCATGTAGCAGGTTGTATCAACACGACAAACATAGCAACTGGACAAACCATGTAGCGGGCTGCATACACACGACAAACACAGCATCTGGACAAACCATGTAGCAGGTTGTAAAAACACGACAAACACAACATGAAAATACATATACAACTACAATTAGGATGGCCATCATTATTAATAGTTTTGTCAGGTAGTTTGTAGTGTCACAAAAAACCTACACATTGGTTAAGCGGGTGTCGTCGATGAAGCATAAGACGCTGACTCTTTCAATACACCTGGTCTTCTTCTCCTGGTACTTTTTCAGGAGTCTTCGTATAAGTTTTCTTTCGTTCATATTTTGTCCTAATTTTATTGAATTTGAGTTTGGATTATAATTACATGTATGTTGACATGTTGGCATTTTCTTGTTGATTATCGAAGACAATTTGACTATATCAATCTGTCACCAATCTCAAGGATTCATAGTTGGTTTCCATTATTCACTATGATTGAGGGGCTGGTTAAACCCATTGTAATTTATCATTTTTCATTCTTTTGCTTCTCGTAGTCTTATAACACGATATATTGTAAACTGAAATAGGAGCAAATTATTTTTAACAATATATAAATGAAACCCAGAAATTGATCAGATCAACAACATTAGAATTAGTGAACAGAAATGTAGACCAGAAACCTGTTTATAGTCTATGATTTATATACATCAGGCATAATCTCTGGAAAAAAGGTTGTAGTTTATGCGTAAAGTCATTTCGTTACGACATGTCGACAAACGTTAGACCCTATTCACATGGTAGTCATATCCTTTTCTCATTCGTATGTGGAGAGTAACAGAGAAAGAACCAGAAGGAGAGTAATATTTCTGAACTACGTCAAGGAGAATTAGGATCTGTATTGTAATCAGACTGTATAACAAACACAAAGAAGGTAAATAAACAGTTGAATGGTCACGTAAGATAGCTTTAATTGTTCTAACGGAGTTTGTAACTGATTGGACCATACGAGAACGCATGACAACATCTACATTTGTGGGATTGCACAATGTTACAAGACATGCAATGTGCACATGAGGTATGCACAACGGAATGAATGAGTAGGACAGGATTTTTTTATCTATAAAAGTTCCTCTAAGTAGATCTTCTAATTAAGTCTTATATTTCTAGGTCAGAAACCTGTAGATCTATAAGGCACAGACTGCATAGTAATTAAGAATATTTTGTTTATTAAGTACCAGACATGACTGGCCTTAGTGTACAGGCAGTCGTTATATGTAAACATCAAACAGGCGTCTATTTTTGTCATGGCATTGAATCATCTAAAATGGTATACCATCAGAAAGGAAATTTAATTACGTAACTTCTGTATTACCTTCGATTTTATATCAAAATGTGAAGACAACATCTACTCAGATATCCACTCAAGTGAGTCCTAGCCGGCACATATATGTTTGTTACACGGGAGACCTAGCCGGTACATATATGTTTGTTACACGGGAGACCTAGCCGGCACATATATGTTGGTAACACGGGAGACCTAGCCGGTACATATATGTTTGTTACACGGGAGACCTAGCCAGTACATATATGTTGGTTACACGAGAGACCTAGCCGGTACATATATATATATACCCGTATACAAACGATATTTGTTGCCCTCGGCACAACACTGACCACTGTCCGAAATGTGAAACTATACACTAGAGAAATTAAACAATATAGAGCCCGCTGTTATTTCAATAAATATCAAATAAAAATATCCTTTATAGTTATCTGAGAAACATTTAATTTCCAATTCCTAATATCATTGATATGCTATGTTAACCAAACTGCACAAAATGTGAAATCCTTTCGCACAGTTTTGCGCTAGATGCCGTATCGTGGGTGAGTACGGATGGTGAGCGCACGAGAATACAGCAGACCCTGTAATGGACTATATCCGATGTCCTGCGTGCAGAAGAAATAGGGAAATTCACTTCCGATCAGCAAGAAGTGATACAATGAATTAGTTGCCTCTTAAGACATGATAACGTGAAATTCAGTAGGTACAATCTTTCCCGTCACCTGCATGAACTCATGTTAAAGTAAACAAGGGATTGTTGTTCAGTCTTTTATTTCTCACGTTTATGTGTATAAATAGATCTACTGAGGATTTCGAAATCACATACGTAACATGTTTGACAAGTTTTATTATTCAAATAGATCTAAGTAGGTGTACAGTATATCAATCGAGGTGCGTTTACATTAGTCGTGTATTCTACGCGTGTTTGCTCGTGAGATTACCAAGATATTCCTTATAACATGCTCAAATAAAACCTGGTATTGCTGAAACAAAAGTTTTAAAAGTACGTTGAAAATGTAGACCGCGCACATATACATGTATGACTAGTGAATCACACTCTCTGTCACCTTATAGAATGATAAAACAATTAGTGAGGCCAGGACACAGGCAAAACACTTCAAGTGATCATGGAAAATGCTCAAATTACTTAAAAAATATGTCCTGAAAAGTCATTTTAAAATAGGTCACGATAAACGCATGCTCATATTTATTTTTGGACTCTATGTTTCAGAATAATAGACTGATTTTGAAGATAAAAGGATAAAATGGTATTTTAGCTGTGTTTGCCTCATACGAACGTCTAGGTGTTGTTGAGAGCATCGTGCAATTTGAGCTTAATATATTTGAATCACGGAAGGCAGGAACAATAAGGAGACATATGACATTTAATAAGTCGATAGTTTCGTATCTTCCGCTTTCTCTACATTTTCCCATGCAAGTGTGTATATAGTTTTAGTACATATGTATACAACTCGTGCGTATCTTTAAAGTCCCGAGGCTGATTTCACCGACACCGAACAGAAACCCTGTTTCTCACACAACAGAAACACGATTTATGGGGTTGTATTTGGTGGTAATTGAAAGGTTAAAAAGTGTATACACAAACCAAGCGTGTTCAATGTACAGCTGAAATATTCATTTCTTTGCTGCGCGATCACGTGTGAATTTAGTCATTGTCATTGGTGGTACAAAAGACTCCTACGTATAATGTCTGTATACAGGTGAGACAAACACAGTATCAAAATGCATCATATATCATAATGATGATTTAAGAAAAGCGTCAAGTACATAAATAGGAATGAAAACGTGTCATATAGACTATAGTAAACCTAGAGGGAAAGGCAACGTTCTGTGTGCAGTGGTGGCTGTATTTTATAACTGATGTAAAAAGTGATTCTATTATGACCTCTACAAATGTGTCAATCTTAATGAGTCTGAAATACAGTAAAGACTTACATTACCAATAAGTTAACAATTCGCTATGAAACTTGTATGAAATTCTTGTCACGTAACAACACCCCGCTAAAGAACAGAAAATCTTCTTGACGAGAACTTGGCTAACATGACGATCTTTCATGTTGTATTAGTGTCACACCACTGGTGTAAAAATATTACGACTTCATAGAAGTTTTTTTTTACAGCCTTTCATTGTGTATTTCAGTTAATGATATACAGTCACCGATGTTGAGCTAAGGAGTCCAGTCACAAATACAGTGGACACATTGTTATATGCCAAAATGTAAGTTGCTTAATAGTGCTTGTAAGAACGTAGGATAAACGTTCAGGTGTACCGAGCTGGTAACCTTGAAAGAAAGTCTTTTCCGTTAAATCCATGGTCTATTTTTTTAACCTAGGCTCCTTACCCGACAAGAAACAGGAGAGACAATCCCTTTATTGTAAATATATTGTGGTACGTATGTATGTCCTTTACGTTTAAATGTTAGATTCAGTCCGTATAAGTCTACTCGGTTGTATTTATGCACAATGTATATACACTCTCACACAAACCTTTCTTAATGTAAATATTCTAAAATGATTTTAACCAACTTTAAGATGGTAGTGTCTGAAAGATTAGAAAGTGGGTACGCCGAGTTGTAATTTGTGATCACTAAAATCGTACACCTATGCAGGTATATACACACGCTATATTTAGACTCATTTAGGTCATCTATTGTGAAATGTTTAAAAGGGTCTCCTTCGTCCTATCCAAGTTATACAGGCAATATGGGGTTCGTTAATGACAGTACGGGTATAGGCCTGGCCATTTTGCTTGGGTTTATTACATTTGGTATTGGAAATGTATTTGGAACAACAGTTTCAACAGAAGACGGCGCTGTGGAAGGTATTGTTGTACCGTTACAGAAAGGAAATGTATATCAGTTTAAGAAGATTCCCTACGCAATGCCACCAGTAGGCCCCCTTAGATTCAGCAAGCCGGTGAAACATCCACCATGGAATAACACACTTGACGCTACAGACTTTGGACCTGCTTGTATTCCGAGCGGCAGTTCGACACATCCTGTATCAGAAGACTGTCTTTTCTTGAATGTTTATATCCCACATGAGGTTTCGACAACAACCAATAAGTCGGTAATGGTTTGGATTCATGGTGGTGGGTACATATATGGTACAGGTATGGACTACGACGGAGCATCGTTAGCTATTCATGGTGACGTCATCGTGGTGACGATAAACTATCGACTTGGTGTATTCGGTTTCCTGAGTACGGGTGATTCAGCCGCGAGAGGAAACTACGGACTATGGGACCAGATTGAAGCCTTAAAATGGATTAAATCAAATATAAAATACTTCGGCGGAAATCCAGACTCTATCACATTGTTCGGTGAATCGGCTGGTGCTTTCAGTGTTTCACATTTAGCCATATTTCCGGAAAACAAAGGACTGTTTCATCGGGTAATAATGCAAAGTGGTTCATTAGGTTCTTACGGCACCATTACAAAAGACCCTGTGAAGATCGCAAGAAGTTTGGGAAGTTATTTACAATGTAGCGACATTCAAAACTCTGAATCTCTTGTTGCCTGCTTGCGTAGAATAACTGCATCCGACCTGAATCAAGCATCCGATATTTCACACATGTATTCGATATTTAGGAACACTCTAGGATTATCTCTGGGATATTCACCAGTGATTGACGGCGAAATGATATTAGGGGATCCGATGTCTATCTTTAAAAATCAATCTTCCGAACATTTCAAATTCTATCAATCACTTGACGTCATTTCCGGTTGTACTTCCGCCGAAGGATCTCTTATGTTGATATACATTTCATTATTTCCAGGTCTTTCTTTACCGACCATTGACATATCGGAAGGAATCCCAACTTCGGTTCTCAAAATGTTCGCCAAGCCTTTTATCGAGTTGTATCACAACAACGATACAAGAATTTTAGAACCGATCTATGCTAAATACACGTCAGAAGACAACGAAGAACAAGGCCGTCTTCTTGTCAACCTTCTGAGTGATTCTCAGTTTTATGCACCAATGTTGGAATCTTTGCTTGTTCATGATCTAAATGGAAACTCCAAATCAAAGACATTTCAATATTTCTTCTCAAAAACATCACCGATTGATGGCTTGATTGGTGTCCCACCAAAATGGTTTGAAGGAGCCGGGCACGCTGCTGAAATACCATATATATTCTATAACGAATATCTCGATGGTTCTCATAAAAATCTCTCTACAGAAATGATGTCATACTGGACAAACTTCGCCAGATATGGGTAAGTCATTCAATTATTTACATGTCTTATAAAATTCATATTAGCATGCTAATTAAGGATAAAGAGCAAAGTCAAACAGATAACACGTATTATTTCGGGTAAATAGTCTGTAATTTTGTATTGGAATGTATTCAACATTAACGTTTTCTATCCCTTATTTGTAAATGTATAAATGGTGTCATTTGTTCGCTGCCTCCAATGAAACGGTAGACGCTCAGAATAATTTCTCATTTAAAATAACCATTTAAAGTGTAACCAGAACATTTTCATTAATGAGTCATAGCATAGTCATCAAATAGTAAACAACTTTCTATCGTTTCATTGATTCCGATTTTGATATAATGTCTATTATTAAGTTAAGATAACTTGTATATGTCAATTTTACTTCACCGTAATAAAAAAAAACCGACTTACGCCTCTAATTCTAATTTTAAATAGTTTTCCCACCTGAAAAATGTGCCGTTTTGTTTGTCGTTACTACATACCTGCATGTTCTTGGTGCTCATCAGGGTCATGTGGTCACTGATCTTGATTACTCATGATATATACAATACATGATCACTACTGATCTAATGGAACATTCACGTATTCTCTATTTTTGAGAAAGATAAACTAAGTCTGTAAAACATCGAACTATGGTATGTTTATATATCATGTTCACACTTTGTTGTAAGATAGTTTGTGATACAAACTATGATATCTTCGCATTGTGTGCATGTGAAAAGATGACGTCACGAAAGCATGGTCAACTGATCAATATACATAAACATCATAAATGACGACGTCACGATAGCATGGTCAACTGATCAATATACATAAACATAAATGATGACGTCACGATAGCATGGTCAACTGATCAACATACATAAACATCATAAAAGATGACGTCACAATCGTATGGTCAACTGATCAATTAACCTGGACATCATAAAAAATGACATCACAATCGCATGGTCAACTGATTAACATACAAATACATCATAATAGATGACGTCACAATCGCATGGTTAACTGATCAATCTACATAAACATCATAAGAGGGCGTTCCAATAACATTCCAAACCGTCTGCTGTAAAATTTCACAAGCTTTTGAGGTTTTTATAAGCGCATGGCATTATTTTTGAAAAAATCTATTTCGTCGTAGATCTTTATTCGCAATAATGTTCAATCAATTCATTTCGGTAATAGTCATGCCTTTTAAGTAGATAAGTCCATTTGAAATGAACAAGAAACCTTATTTGATTTGTTTAGATATGTTAACCAAACGGTTAACAAACAGTAGCCATTCAGTAATATATTTGCTGTTAGACGCCTTTAAATAGAAAGTGATTGCTAAACCATTTCTATTTTGTTATTGGCATTTACATATGTTTGTACTCGAGCTGTAACTGCCACATATCCTTTTTTCTGTCCCCGAAAATTGTCGGACGAACATAATCGTCGCCTTGTCCGTCCGTCCTGTCGTGTCGTCTCCGGAGTATAACTTCAACCACTGATAAGCAAAACCTGAAATAGGTGTATACAATGATCATACTAAGAAAATGTGCAGTGTACCATTCAGTGCCCTCGAAATATATCGTTACTATGATGACTTCGAACAGGTGACATGTATGACAACAGGTGACATAAACACGAAACATTTCAGGCTCACGCCTCGATTACTAACTCATATACAACAGAAATCAACAAGTGTCCATACCTTTGTTAAATAGATATACCAGTGTCCATACCTGGATATACCAGTGTTCATACCTTTGTTAGATAAATATACCAGTGTCCATACCTTTGTTTAATAGATATACCAGTGTCCATACCTTTGTTAAATAAATTTACCATTTTCCTTACCTTTGTTAAATGAATATACCAGTGTCCATACCTTTGTTAAATAAATCTGCTGTAATGTAGGTCATTGTTCTTAAATTCTGTTAATATAACGGTATTTTCTCGTTTTGTTTTTGCTTTGTTTTTGTTTTTTCTTAACAAATAGACGATTGGTCAAATCTTTTCAGGGATCCAAACATGGGACTTCCGGTTCCGCTGTGGCCCGAATTCACTAAGACCATGAGACAGTATGTAAATCTCAACACAGAAATAAACACCGGTTCTGATCTTTTGGGAGATCGGATACGATTCTGGAATGAACAAATACCACGGATTATGTCAGAAACAGAGATAATGATCAACACTTCCATGGGACAAATCAAAGGAGTTTTACAAAAGGTTAAAGGTAAAACTATCAATTTGTTCAGGCAAATTCCGTTTGCTGAGCCGCCGACCGGTACTCTACGGTTCATGAAACCCGTTCCAACATCAAAGTGGAATGGAACTCTTGACGCGACACGTTTTGGGCCTTCTTGTGTTCAAACGATCGACCCAGAATCGGTAACATATGTTCCAAATACAGATATCTCAGAAAACTGCCTCTTCTTGAACATTTATGTACCTGATACCGTTCGAGACACAGCGAACAAGTCGGTTATGGTTTGGATTCACGGCGGGGGATATGTATCCGGTACCGGAAATACTTACGATGGCACGTCTTTAGCTCTTCAAGGAGACGTCATTGTTGTTACATTGAATTACCGACTCGGTTTATTTGGATTTCTCAGTACGGGAGATTCAAACGCAAGAGGAAACTACGGACTTTGGGATCAAATCGAAGCCCTGAAGTGGATTAAATCCAACATTAGAGACTTCGGCGGAAATTCGGACTCTATCACATTGTTCGGTGAATCAGCTGGTGCATTCAGCATTTCACATTTAGCAATCATTCCGGAAAACAAAGGGCTTTTTCATAGAGTCATTATGCAAAGTGGTTCACTGGGGTCATTTGGATCCGTCACAAAAGCTCCAAGCACAAATGCACGAGCGTTGGGAAGCCGTCTTCTGTGTAATGACGTTCAAAATCACTTTATCTTAGTCTCCTGCTTACGCACGATTGACGCACTTGTACTCCAAAGAGAAGCAGAGACTGTATATACGTTTTCAACTGGAGGTATATTTGAAATACCTTTATCGCCAGTCATAGATGGAGATCTGATTCCAAGTAACCCTTTGCGTTTACTGGAAAATAAATCATCGGAACAGTTCGAATTCTTCCAATCACTTGATGTAATATTCGGTTGTACTTCCGCCGAAGGTTCCGTCTTTCTCCCGCTACTTCAATACCTCCCATATTTTTCTTTACCTGCCGTCAATATATCTGAAGGAATTCCAAGCTGGGTAATGAAGTTTGTTGCTCAAAGCTACAATGAGATGTACTACAACAAAGACAACAGAACTTTGCAAGCTGTAATTGATAAATACATCTCAGCTAATCTGGAACATCAAAGCCGACTTTTTGTGAATCTTATGGGTGATGTCACATTTTATCTACCAATGTTGGAATCCCTTCTACTTCATAACAACGATGGAAATACACATACAAATACTTTTCAGTATGTATTTTCACATCAGCAAAAATATGATCCAGTTCTTGGTGTTATGCCAAAGTGGTTCGACGGAGCCGTACATGGTGCCGAACTCATTTTCCTATTTGACAGCACGGTGTATCTCGATGTCGACGACAGGGTCCTTTCAACTCAAATGATGTCATATTGGACTAATTTTGCAAATCATGGGTGAGCTGACACGTTATTCTTTATTTCCTTTCAGCTCTTAAGTTTCAGCAATAGAAAAAATTCTTACTTATTTTTTAGAATTTATTTTCAGTCGCTAAGAAAAAGAAGAAAAGAGAATCCAAATATTTTAGGCAAGGATCAGGCAAAATGTCAACAATAATGGGTGATTATTTAGGCTAAAAAAGAGACAACGAAGCAAACGTTGTCTTAAATTTGCCATATAGCACTCCATTGAATAAAATGATATATTTTTACTGACGGAACCAACATTTTGTTTAAAAAATTCTGAACTTTGAAGCATGAAAATATACAAAGTAGAGGTTTTCGCGTTACGGAAGAGTTATTTCCCTTCTCTGAATAGTGAGTTAAATAGACTTAATTTTCGTCAATATACCACAATATTTCGGTAGCTAATGGCTTAGTGTGGCTGTGGAATATGTATGTTCTGTCATAACGAAAATGGTCATAAATGCAGATGACTGCAAAGTTTAAACTAATCACTTGATCGAATGCTCGTCACTTCCGTCGGTAATAGGGGGGTATCTATTGGAATCTCTATAAAATCTGAAATCGGATACAGATGATAATGCCGGTATCAATATTCAACGCCAACAAGTCATTTAGTATTTACTGACTATTTACTTAGAATTGACACAATGACATATCTAAACTCTCCTCCATTTGAAGAGAGCGGCTAATCACGATGCTACTGTATTTTGTAACTTCATCATCAAGATATCCAGGCATAATAAACAGCAGTAAAAAGTTAATTCGGGAACAATAAAAGAATTAGAAGATGAAAATGATAATCGCATTAAAAAAAGGAATTTCCGGGAAAATGATTAATTCGGGAATAAGAAAAGAATTAGAAGATCAAAATGATAATCGCATTAAAAAAAGTTAATACGGGAAGGAATAAGCAAATAAAAATGATAAATTCGGGAATAAGAAAAGAATTAGCTGATAAAAATTATAACTGCAGGAACACAATATTCGGGAATAAATAAAAACAACTGCTTATCATTGACTGGAATTTCTTCACGGTTCCCGTGTGGTTGTTTTCTGAACCTGACATAACTAATATTTACATGACAAATGTCGTCGATGAAGCAGAACCTGTTTTCCCTTGTTGCTTAGTGTCATCGGATCCGAGTTTAAATCGTATGTTTTTAGATTAAGTTGACATTTCATTTGGTGATTACAAGGTACATAAAAAGATATATAGCTTAATGCGGTATTTGATAAGACATTTCAATACTTTAATTATTTTTCTTTGCTTCTTCAAATGGAAAATAAAATCATTGGAATTGAAATTAATTTCGGGGAAACATGTATTTTAAAGTGTATTTCCCCTCAATATGTACAGCGAAACATACAACGAACT